AGAATAGTAAGTCTTATCAAAAACAACACACACAATTACAAAATGACCCACGAATATCCGTTAACAGGTAGGGTCGTAAGTCAATTGATAAATAAAAGACAAACATAATGCACATTACCATTTTGAGAGAGAGTACCTAAGTGATACCTCATTCACAACAACGCGACTCTGGTTCAAGAACCGTGCTAGAGCTGAAAACCCTGACAGCTGACACCAACAACAACAACAATGGTTGTGCTCCAGCTTCTTCTGTACCTCTTCAGAAGACCAGACTCCCAGTAGGTAACTGGTCTCTTCAGTGGACTACTGCTGCTTGTTAAGTTTCTCCATCGTTGTGTACAAACCAGATAAAACGCTGGCTTTTTGTTGTTGTTCAGGAGTTGATCCCGCCCTGCCCCGCCTCGACATTAGCGTAACGTATGTGGTGCTTTTGCTCTAGCCGGACAATTTTTTGGTGCTTGAAACAAACCGGATTCCGGAGCTAAGAGGCTGCTCCGCTGCGGTGTGAACAGGAAAACCCGGTGCTTTTCAAGCTCCAGCTCCGAACCGGCCCTGAAACACCGTTGGTGTGAATGAGGTATTAAAGAACTCAGAAAATAATCTCTTATCGAACTGAGGCTCCAGTAAAATACTGACTGCGTCTCTACATGGACATCAGTAAGCCGTTTATCATAAACGGCTTACTGATGTCCCCAATATGATCATAATGGCCATGGGGACATGGTGTTTACATGAGCACAGAGAGATTGGGTTATTCATGTTCCCTTTTTACATGATAAATACTAGTAACCTGGCATTTCGATATTCAGTATTTGTATCTCTCTATCATGACATAAAGACGAAACTCCTCTCCAGAAGTCAGACGCTTTTGCCGCCGCCGTCGCCATCACTGTTAACTGATTAACTGCTACCACCTGAAGGCTTACTTTCCTCTTCTTTGAAAACATTTTCCTTATGTCCATGTTCTCTGGGGGAGAAAAAATATCATACCAAGAGATCGTCAGCTTTGATTTTCGCTGTATTAACAATTTCCTGAACATTTGGTGTGTGTGCCTTACCTCCGCTACCGGCATCGCTTCATACAACAGGTCTGAGCTGTCCAACTATGACAACACTCCTTGAACATGCGCGCGCTATGTGAGAATCTGCCTTGGTACACAGTAGCAGCGAAAACATGGTATGGAGTTTCGTTGATTTGGGCATTCTCTCAATAAGCAAGTGGAATGGATTTGATAGTGAAGCACTGACACAGCGCTCTACAAAGTGCAGCGAGTGGATAGACCGATTCACGGACTTTCCACATGGTAAAAGCATGGGTAAAAGTGGGGTGGTCTAAACTAATCATTTCAAAATGTGGGGGGACTTGTCCCACCCTCATATAATGGCTGCGACGCCCATATCCGAACACCAATGCACAACCCACTACACCACACGCCTCTGTTAATAACACTACTCCTCAGGGAACAAATAACATTCCTTAGATTTTTACATTACATTTTTAGGTCGACTATTACATTTATTTCCTCGTTTGGACGTATTA